TGCTTTATGGTACTACACCCCACACCTTAATTTCACAAAGTATACAAATTATAGAACAACCGACTCTGTTGAAATAGAGTTGTGTACTATATCTTTGCTGTGATATATTGACACAGCAACAGTTGCAAAATTACGACTTTATTAGGGCTACTTTGAGGGTAATTATCTGTCAGGTTTTAGTGATGTTTGTACTTTTATGTGTTTCAGTGCGTTATTCCATCTTTAGACCTTTGTCCTGACAATATTATATGCTCGATCCCTGCTTTAACTCAAACTCTTAATCAATTACAGAGTTTCCCCCGTTTTTTTTTTTTTCTTTATTTATCCTGTTTGCACAAATTGCATTACATGTGATGATGTAAAGACATATGTCGATAGTGTATCATTGACAGCTGTGCTTCTATTATACAACATTAAGGTCTTGCTGCGGGTTATATACATGGGGTTGTTGGCCTAAATTGCTATATATATATATACTTAAGTAAGGAAACTTTAATAAGTCACATCGTGTATCCTCCCTTTTCATCTATCCAAACCGGGAACGCAACATTATGAGAGTGTATTGGTCATCATATTTACATGTGTGCTTTATTAATAACTTTTTTTAAAAACCTTTATTCTTATACACTGAATCAATTGAGATATACATTTCACATAGGGCTTTATTTATTTACAAGGAAAATTAACCTCTATCTAGATTCTTATTTGTGCAAATTTGTCAGTCTCCAGTTCAGGATCATTCTCCCGTTGGTCTCCGAGTTCTACCATGGCCTTGCAGGATGGAGATCTCGGCCTTCAGGTCCCTGCATAACTCCAGCGCACCAAATCACTAACTTCGTTTTTCCTGGTTCTTACCGAGTTGGCTTCTCCGCTTCTCTTTTCAATGGATATTATTACCGCCATTTTTTATAATAATGGATTGAAAATAAGTGAAGTTTCTCTCCCAAATTTTTAGTTCTTCTCTGTATCCTTTACTAAACTTCTTCATCATACCTTCCTAATGAGAACAAGGGAAATTACCCGCATCAATATTCTCGTAAAGATAGAGGCTGCCTGGCCGGCCTTCATATTTCTTGAAAATAAATATATTTCGGGCAGTAATATGTGTCTACATGTGAAAATTCGGTGCCAGTGGCTGCAGAAAAGCAGACTACGAATTTATACATCTGTGGCAAATGTAGAGACCTAAAGCTGAATTGACTAACAAAAAAAAAAAAGATTTACTGGCCAAAGTATCTTTGTTTTCTATATATTCTGTTCATTTCTCTTGCTAATGAATTATACTTCCTTTCTTTTCTTTATTATTTCATAGTCTTTAGGTGAGCTTGGAAAGTGATCCCAATTTCAATAACATCAATTTCTTTTTGTTTGTTGTATATCACTATGTTTTATTTGCTTGAAAAGATATTTATGTCAGTTGTGTAATGGTATATTTCTCGTTATTCTTTGTGTAAATGTTTATTATCTTAGTTGCACACCCTGTGTAGTTCAATTCTATTATTCTTATGCTAAAACAATAATAATTGTAAATATATATTTCTTATCATTTTTCTCTCAGTTTATTATACATATATTAAACACACAAAATTGACATACTTAAGGAAAAAACGAGAAATGAGAATTTTTTATAATTCTTAATTGTATATTCTACTAGTGTGTGTCAATATTTATTATATATAAAAGTCAATTTCTGTCTGTCTGTCTGTTTCGCGATAAACTCAAAAACTACTGAACCAATTGGTACCAAATTTTGCATGTCGCTTTTTATAAACCTGAGGAAAATTTTCGGCTGCATTTCGATTAGTATTTTTGGCTATTTCTTTTTTCATTTGAAGAACTTTTTTTTACGCAGACTAATCCGGAATGGAATGAATACCTAAATATGGCCATTTTTTTAAAGCATCGGTGGTTCAGTGGTAGAATGCTCGCCTGCCACGCGTGCGGCCAGGGTTCGATTCCTGGCAGATACATTTTTTTAAAACAATTTTTAAAACTCATTTATATTATATCTTCTTCTTCTATATATATAAAAATGAATGTTTGTATGTTTGTTTGTTGGTTTGTATGTCGGTATACAAATTCGCAGTAGTTCACTAATTCAAACCAAAATTTCCATACATAGGTAGAAAAATACGGGGAAGACGATAGGCTATTTTAAAAAATATATAAATCCATTATTAAAACTAAATATTATTAGTCAGAAAATGATGATGACGATATTGCTGTATCATGTAAGATTATCAGATACAAAATTATATCAGGAAATATTTATATTCCAAAAATCAGAGACCACGGGTGAAACCAGCTCATTATTTTGTACGCAGGAACAAAATTCTAACAGAAAAACAATCATTCGAGCAGAAAACAAAAGCCAGATCATCTTTCTATAAAAATATCGCTTCTCAGACACAAAGTTAGGAGCGGGACGTTTCACAAGAGTGACATCCACGCCGCCAATTTATAATTGTAACGAATAGTATTTAAATAAAAACATTTAATCGGGTAAAACCCGGGCCGGGCGTTGCCCGGGTCATTCGGCTAGTTTATTATATATTTTAGTATAAGATGAATATTAACCAAAAATTATTGATGGATGAGGAAGACACACTTTAGCATAATTAACTGTCAAGAAATCAATGTTTTTCTTTACTGTTACCTTTAATGACTATTTCCAGATCTCTACATGTCAAAATTCGGGCGCCAGTGGCTGCAGAAAAGCACACTATAAATTTATACATCTGTGGCACATGTAGAGACCTAAAGCTGTACTGGCTAGCAAAAAAAATTTAAAGGGTTATTAACCACTCCTTTTTTGTGTGGCTAAACATATTTTCTTTAGACTGATAAAAATATTTTCGAAGTACACAACATAAAAAAAGGAATATAATATAAAAAAAACTTTAAATATAAAACGTGTGTGTATATATAATAGGTTCAAAAAGAGGTTTAAAAATATATGTACATAAATAAAAAAACAAACTAAAATAGGCCTATTTAGTCCACCTACCTCTCAATCCAGCAATCCAAGTCTAGGATTGAAAAAGGGCGGCAGCTATTCTTTTTTTGACCCTGCTTCCTCTCCAGGAAAAAAATATAAATATCCCCCCTAATTTACCCCAGTATTGCTGACGTACCTGTAAGGCTGTCATTTTGTAATCACCCTTCTCTCTGATAAAATTAAAATAATTAAAATAAAATAAAAAATTAATATTAAGAGTATTGAAAAGAAAAATAATTTAAAAATACAATGAACATGGTGGGTTTTGGGGTCAGATTGGGCAAGGTTTGGAGCTCGTGGTGGAACTGGTATCTGCCTGAAGATGGTGATATCAGTCCCCATGGGTCTGTTACTGTCCATAGGGATAGGCATGCTGGAATCTGGCTTGTGCTGGTGGGGTCAAGTGAACCTCCATGAATCCTGTGGCTCGACCATAGCGACCTCAGACTCTGGCTCAATGCTCTCAAGGCTAAAGGTGGTTTCAGGCTCCATCTCTACGCCTCACAATCACCATAAGTTTGCAGCTTAGATGGGGAAGGGAGGGACATTGTTAGGTTTTGAGGTTCTGGATGAATTTTGACATGCAGTGGTCACGTGGTGTCCTAATAATTATAAGTAACTCTCTGGTGGCCTAAATAAATTTAAATGTGAATGAAGGGATGTTTTCTGTGAGTGGTCAAAATGAACAAGAAAAAAACCCTCACCTGTATGTGAGAGTGTTGTGGCAGGGAGGCTATATAAAGTCCGCAGTTACCCAAGGTCCAATTCTGACAGCCATCTAATTACTGTTGTTAGGACACCTCGTGACCATAGTATGCCAAATTCACCCAGAACCCCACCTAACCTAACCATGTTCCACCTTTGTCCATCTAAGCTGCAAACCTCTGGTGATTGTGAGGTGTTGAGATGGAGTCTAAGGCCACCTTCAGCCCTGACAACAACAAGCCAGAGCCAAGATGGACTCAGATGCCCCTTCCCTGTGGTCAAGCCACCTGACCTGTGGTGGATGACCTGGCCCTACCAAGCTAGTCTGAGATGGACTCAGACACCTTTTCCTGGTGGTCGATCCACATGTCCCATTGTGGCTAACTTGAACCCAAGCCAGAGTCCAAGATGGACTCAGACATCCCTTCTCTGTAGTCAAGCCACTGACCTATGGTGCTTGACTTGACTCCACCAGTACCAATCCAGACTCGAGCATGCATATGGGAAAGCCACAAGCCTATGGTGGGGGTTGAAGTCACCATCTTCAGGCAAGAACACCAGCTCCACCACGAGCCTTGAACCTTTCCCAACCTGACCACAAGATGCCCAGGTCCTACAATATCTATATATATATAAAAATGAATGTTTGTATGTTTGTTTGTCTGTTTGTTTGTCTGTCTGTATGACCCGTATACAAATTCGCAGTAGTTCACTAATTCAAACCAAAATTTCCATACATAGGTAAAAAATAACGGGGATGACGATAGGCTATTTTAAAATATATATAAATCAATTATTAAAACTATATATTCAAATTATTTGACTTAGCTCACGAGCAGCGCCCTCTAGAACGCGTGGCGATTTTGACGGCGGGGGGCGCTCCCGTTGGACAGTTGCGCGGGGGCAGAGTGAACTCGCGGGTGCCCTCCGGGAACTACGTCCATCTTCCATATGTAATATACATTTAATCGTGTAAACCGGGCGTTGCCCGGGTCATTCGTCTACAAATTCGCAGTAGTTCACTAATTCAAACCAAAATTTCCATACATAGGTAAAATAATACTGGGAATACGATAGGCTATTTTAAAAATTTTGCTCTATCATGTTTGATTATCAGATACAAAATTATATCGGGAAAAATTCCAAAAAACAGACCAGGGTGAAACAGGGTACATTTAATAGGGTAAAACCCGGGCGTTGCCCGGGTCATTCGGCTAGTCTACTTATATAATTGTCTTATTCTGTCTGTGTGAAGTTCATGGATAGATTTTGGTCAGAATGGATAAAATAAAAAAAGTGTCAAGGGATGGGAATCGAACCCACGACCTTCCGCTTGCTTACCGGGCAGATGCCATGACCACTAGGCTACCCTGGACATATTTTTCGTTCATAAAGTTAATATATGATGCCAATATTAGAAAAATTGCTTTAGTAATTTTTAATTGTTATTTTCATTGCATATTTATGATATGGGTTCATTCAAAAAACTTTTCCCGCAGTTTAGAATATATATCTATATATTTATCTATTTACTTATATATTCACTGGCCGTGTGACCATTTAGAACCTTGCGGAAAGTTATAGGGTTATTTTTTTGTGAATTTTTTTTTGTTTCGATTTTATTGAAAAAAAAAACGATATGGTGCCTTTAAAAAATGATCTTTATTACTATGCAGTTTTCTATTTAGTCAATATACCTAAGTTCATGTTGCAAATGTAATTATCTCTATCGATTTAGTAGGTGAAATGCAAAAAAAAAAATCGACATGATGAAATATTTATGAAAATTCACATTTTTATTTTTATATTTTCAAGACACACACAGTTTGGGGCGGGACGTTTCACAAGAGAGACATCCACGGCGCCAATTTATAATTGTAACGAATAGTATTTTAATTAAAACATTTTAAAAACACAGTTTGGAACGGGACATTTCACAAGAGTGACATCCATGGCGCCAATTTATAATTGTAACTGGTCGTCTAGTTAATTATATATTTATTCTATATTTTCTAATATTTTTTCGCGAATATTATTTAAATAATTTCTATATTTAATTTTTTTAAAGATACTTTTTATTTTTTTCACACATGAGAAAGAAGGGTGGTGATAACCTTGGGGGGTTGAGTCCAGCAACACTGGGGCAAGGAAGCGAGATATTTACAAAAAGTTTGATATTTTTCTTCCTGGGAAGCTGAGGACTGGGAGTTGCTGAGGGCTCAGGCCGCTGGCTGCGGCCTTAGCTGCCCTTTTTCGAATCCTGGACTTGGGTGGCTGGATCCAAAGGTAGGTGGGGAGATATGGGATTTTGGCATGATAGGCCTTTTTTTCTTTTTTAAAATTTATATTTATATATATATTAAACTCCTCCTTATTTTAACCTTATATAGTTTTTTTTAACCTTTTTAAAATCTTATATACGCGTAATATTATTTAGGTTTTTTTTGTTTTTATCTTTCCTCTGATGTACATTGAAAGATTATTTTATTGGTCTGAAATAAAATAGGTTTAGCCAAAAAGGATTGGTTAATTTCCCCTTCAACATTTATTGCTACTGGCACAGCTATACGTCTCTACATGTGCCATAGATGAATAAATTTGTGGTCTGCCTTTCTGCAACCACTGGCTCCCGAATATTTGGACTTGTAGAGATCTGGAAATAGTTCTTTAAAGTTAACAGCAATGTAAAAACCTATAAAATCATCACGATTTTATCACTGTAGCATGCACCCTACAACTACAAAACCAGGGCGACTGTACCACAGGCCCAGAACCCATGGACAACTTTAAGGAGGTGGCATGTTGCAGGAGCTCACCACTAACCAGAAAGTGTGTCTGAAGGAAAACACCAAGCCTGGTGTGAGAGCTGGAAAGTGTGGTCAAAGAATTATTTAAGTAAAGGCCTATATACCTACCTGGCCTTCCTACTTGCTTCCCATCCCATATTGCCTACCACAGTCTTTCTAAGAATTCCACAGTGATAGAAGCAGACCTGTGTGAACTGAGGACCCATCATGCTCGACAGCCTGGAAAAGATTATTAGACAGTTAAAGAGTCGAAACCTCTCAATAATGTCCATCAACCACCTCAATGAGTATATCAACTAAGATAAGGACCTAGAACTCTAACAAATAAATTCTTAGACATCATACATGCAATTGTCTTTTTCTCATTCTGTTTTTTAAGAATATTCATGGTTTATTTTTTAAAAAATAGATACAATAAATATATAAACATATATTTTGAATATTAAGTCTTTAACATTATGCATTTAAAAAATGAATTTTAATTTGTTCTTTTTATATATATATATAAATAAATGGCTGTGTCTTCTTTTTAATTTTCTATTATATTTTGGTGGATATTCTGGGTATTTTAGGAAGACAAACTGAAGCTTGCCAAGAGAACACATAAGGCCATGGGTGCTGTGGCCTACATTTTTTCCGCGACTGCCTCCAGGATTCCACCGCCATGTCAAAGCCAAGACTTCCCTCTAAAATGCCTATTGAAGAAATGACAAAGCTGATATTGATATAGGCTTAGCAAAAAATACGATGTTTATTTTTTAAGGATTTCTAGTTGTTTTTGTACTCACGTATGTTGTAGTTACGAGGACATTCCTTTAGATAAAAACAAATATATATTTATTTAAGGAACGACTTGTTCCAATACAAATATTGTTAAAACAAGCTAGCGATAAAACATAACAGAAAGGTTGAAGGTAGAAGTTGGAAGTGACGTCAGTATCGATGATAAAAAAAGTCAAAGTTTGCGTAACAATTCCCTCCTTACTTTGTCTTTATTCCCACGATGCTGAGGTTCTCCAGGTGTTTCTTCATCTGGTCTCGGGATAGGTCCTTTGTGAAGATATCCGCCTCCAGGTCCTGAGATGGCTTGTACAGAAGGCAGATGTCTCTGGATTCATAACAGTCTCTCAAGAAGTGGTACTTTCTGTTGATATGTCTACAGTGACTGCTTTGTTTAGGGCTGGAGATCCAGTTGATCAATGACTGACTGTCTGTATAGATCGCAGTTGGTTTTTCCATGAAATTCCATTCTTCCAGCTCTCGTAGCAGTTTTATTATCCACTTGATTTGACAGCAGCTTTCACAAGCAGCTATCATTTCCGCTTCCATTGTGGAGAGGGCGACGAGTGGTTGTTTACTACTTTTCCAGTCTATAGTTGCTTCGCCGAGCTTCAATACATATCCGCCGTAGGATTTTCCATCATGAGTGGTCGACCAGCTGGCATCGGTGTAGGACTTAAGGATTCCAGTCTTCCCTCTTTCAAATTTCACTCCTAGGTCAATTGTTCCTCGCAGGTATCTCATCACTCTTTTGATTGCTGTCCAGTGCATCTGTTTTGGTTGTCTGGAGTACTGTGAAAGTTTGCTAGTGATGTAAGCGATGTCGGGTCTGGTGTTAACAGCTAGAAACATTAGCATTCCAAGGGCTTCTTGGTAAGTGTGCTGATCACAATTGTCATCTTCAATATGATTGCTCAAATTGATTTCTTTGGAACCTGGTGTTGGAACTTCCTTACAATTTTCCATTCCATATTTCTGCAATATTTGTTGTACATAGTGGCTTTGCTGTAGCGAAATTCCCTCCTTGTCTTGTATGATCTTGATTCCCAAAAACATGTCTTTACATATTACATCCTTTATTTCCAGATGATGTCTCAATTTATTGATGAATCTGTTTGAGGTATCTTCAGAATCTGAGACAGTGATAAAGTCATCAACATATATCCCTACATAGAAGTAATTGTCTTCATTCTTCCATTTGAATAGGCAAGGATCAGATTTAAGTTTTTCCAGTCCACAGTCATGAAGTACTTGACTGAATTTCTCATACCACGATCTTCCAGATTGAGGTAGACCGTAAATACTTTTGTTGAGTTTGCAAACTTTGTTTCTGTCTTGGACAAATCCAGCAGGTTGTTCCATGAATATTGTATTTTCAAAGTTTCCATTTAGATAGGCTGCTTTCACCTCAAATAGTTTGATGACTGAATCTTTTGTTGCTGCCATTGACAAAATAGTCCTGAGGGTGGCATTTTTAATTACAGGGCTGAAACTTTCGTTGTAATCTCTTCCTGGGATTTGGTTGTATCCCATTGCAACAAGTCTAGCTTTGTAAGTTTTGTTTTCTTGGTCTTTAGATATTTTGAACACCCATTTACTTTTGACAACTTTAGCGTTTACAAGTCTAGGTACCAGTTCCCATACTTGATGCGAGTACATGTTCTGTATTTCCTCAAGCATTGCGTTCTCCCAATGTTTCTTGTCTTCGCATGCGATGGCTTCTTCATAGTCTTTCGGAATGGTTTCATTCGTAGTAGCCAGAACATAGTCATCGAATCTTTTAGGTATTGTTCGAGTTCTTTGTGGTCTGTCTGATTCACTTAACTCTGTCTGTCTGTTGATCATGGTATCTGGTGCTGGCTCTTCAATATCAACATCTGATAGAACATGATTGTCCAGTTGTTCATCCTCCGGAATGAAGAAATATGTGTCAGTGTCCGTATTATTATCACTTTGTTTTTCTTCCGAGATGACATTATTGTTCTCTCTGAAATAAATGTCTGCGGTTTCAAGAATGACTCTCGCTGTGATAGAGATGCACAACAGAGACATTTGAGGCTCTTCATTGGACACCACAACAACAGAAAATTGACTCAGAACAGCAGCTTTATACACCCAAGATAGAGAACATGCTGTGATAGAGATGTACGGAGACATCTGAGGCTCTTCATTGGACACGACAACAACAACAACCCTAATCTATATATATAATGTGGTATCTTTAAATAACACAAGAGAGAGAGAAGGGAAAGGGGAGGCCAATTCAAAATATTTATTTTTATAAATTCACTTATATAATAAAAAAAGTACTTCTTATAATCCTGTTCACCAAAGAGAAAATAAGAGAGTATGTATTGCTTAAAAAATATATACACAAATGAAAAATAAAAAAAAAAAAAAAAAAATTGTGTAGCAGAATGAAAACAGACAAGAAATAAAAGCTATGTCACAAATGATAATGAAAGGAGGGTCATGTTATGACTGGATGGTTTTACTTTCTTCTTGAGATTCTGCCTTTGATGATTGCGAGGTGGTTGTACTTGTTGATGTTCTTCCACTTATCGTAGCAGTCCCGCACTGATCGCTGGGGTAGAGGTCCTTTCATCACTATCTCCTTCCAATGGCCGACACCGTATTTCTTCACCCCTATTACAAGGATTTCTTCTTCCCTTAATGACCATTTTAATCTTTTCTTTACACCATCCATAGTTGTATCTCTCCTTCTTGGTGATTTTCTTCTCTTTATTTTTGGTTTCTTCGCGTTCAAAAATTCGTTTGAATCATCATCA